TAAATATTACATAAAAAATAGGCGATATGATTCTTCATAGAATTTTTTGAAAATGGCATATATACAATACTCCTAATGATGTTCGTCCACTTCACAAATGGGGCCCTAAAGATAATCCAAATAACTACCGACTTATCTAATTTTTGTCTCCATTGATGAGAATTTTAGAAACTACCAAATTAGCAGTTTCCTGTCCGACAACAATCTATGACATCTAAAACAATCTGGGTTCCGAAAAAAATACAGTACCACATCTGCTGCACTAGACTCTCTGAATCACATTTACAGTAGCCTTGATAATGAGCAGTACTGCGCCACTTTTTTCTTGACTTGTCCAAAGCCTTTAATACAGTAGACCACAACATCCTGCTTAGGAAATTAAGTTGCCTCGGTTTCTCCAAACACGCAGTAGAATGGTTAAAAATGTACTTCTTTTCTCGCAACCAAACTGTTTGCACAGATGGTTGGAGGTCAAACAATGTTAAGATAACACTTGATGCAGCTAATTCGGCTGTGACGGTCCCACCTGATGACGGAGACTTGTGTTGCCTCCGAAACGTCGTGATTTTTTGTTTTATTTTATTTTCATTAATTTTGATGTTTTACCTACGTGACTTTACCGAAAAAACCTAAGAATATAAAAAAAGAGGTTCCACAGGGTTCCATCCTCGGCCCCCTCTTGTTCTCTGTTTACGTAAATGACTTGGGCACTGACCTGGATCATTCCAGGGTAAATCTTTTTGCAGATGACACGATACTGATTACTGCCGGCTGCTCTCCGGATGACGTGATTGCTAAGCTCCAGGGAGATTTCAACAAAATACATCAGCTAGTTGCTCTTAAACTAGTCCGGAATACCTCCAAAATCAAGGTGCTATGCTTCTCACCAGGACTAAAGCAGGAAGTTTTTTTTCCACAATTACATTCCTTAAATAATGATCAAATAGAGCAAGTAAAGATCTATACGTATATTGGGGTCATCCTGGATTCGAAACTGAATTTTGAATATCACATTGATTATATTGGTAAAAGACAAAAATAAAAATTGGTTTTCTGTATCGACAGAAGCACTGCTTCCCCCCTATGTTCCGTTTGGAATTGATAAAAGCTACCATATTGCTTCTACATGATACTGTGACATTGTACATAATCAGCCCCAAGTACTGTACTGAAGAAGCTTAAACAGTGATTTGTGATCGGGTATTACTGAGGCAGAATCCATCTCCTCAGCAACCCGTGACCAACACCCATCTTTGCAGCTGTGTATGGATCTCCAAATCTCTGAGAAAAGGCTGTGGTAAGCCTCCTCATTCTCTGACATGGGATGCTGTAGACCGTGAAAGGGGACGTCGCTTTTTCTCAGCCAGCCTGAACACCTCCTCTGTCTGCCAGGGTCTCTGGGGAGATTTGGACAGTGCACCCAAAGCAGCCATTGCCACAGTCCTATAACTCGCCCATTTCCCCTCGACATCAGGAATGGTGGAAGATGCAAACCCCAGCTGCAAGTGATCATGAAATTCTCGCTTGCAACTTTCATTAGCAAGCTGAGACCAGGCCGCTGTGTATTCGAATAGGGTCCTGGATGTACACCCAAGAATGGCATGCGCATCTTAGAGATGATAAGCCGATGGTGAGTGGGCAGATCAGCTCTATGGTAGGGCCTGGTGTCAAGGACATAGGCCCGTATACACTTTTCCATCATTACGTAGTCCAGATGTTCTTGTTTGGACCCGGCATGCATCCATGATGTTGTGTGGATGCACCAATGCTGGAACAGTGTGTTTGTAATTACAAGCCCATGGGCTGCACACAAATCTGGCAGCCTCCAACCGTTGTTTTTGAGCTGATCTGCCCGAAGCCTTCCAATTACTCCAGACTAGGTGCCAGAATCATGACCCACTCGGGACTCAAAGCCACCCAACAATATTACTATATCTCGAAGGGCCACTTTAGCTAGCACCTGTGACAGGAGGTCATAAAAGGCATCTGATTTATCGGCCTTGCCTGCATCCCTCCACTTATGTTCATCTTCGGTGGGGGCATAAATAACCACGACCTCCATACCTCACCTTTGATTGAAGAGAAGGCGAGCCCACAGTAGCCTGGGTCTTCTAATTTCACACACCTCACCGCTATGCTCCCATATCCCCTTCATTATTTTGTTCAAAAGAAAATACACTCTCTATTGTTTGGCAGTCTTATGCCCCGAGTAGAGGACTATCCACCCCTCATTGTGGCTGGAGCCAGTCCACCGGACCTGCTGAATGCCGCAGAGATCCAGCCGGTACCAGTCCAGCTCCTGACAGAGGAGTGGCAGTCTCTCCTCCGCAGTGAGCGTTCTAACATTCCACGTGGCCACTCGCAATGGCTTCTTGCTGTCTCTGGAGGAACCCCAATTGTAATGATTCAGTCCCTTGGCTACTTTAAATGGGGTTTATCCAGGAGACGTCACAGAAGCCTGTCCCCGCGGGGCCTGCGGCACAAGTTTAGTTAGATTTTTAACATGTGTATTAGTGGTATTTGTATTGGAGGTGGAGGGTTTACCAGACCCTCACACACGTCCAGAGCCCTGGTATTGCGCTATGGTGGCTATAACCACCATTAACGGGTATTGCCGATTTTGTAATTGGCCTTTCCTGGATGGCATTGCTCACATCCACCACAGCATTACCATCCGGCCCTAGTGAGGAGATAGGTGGTTGTTTTTGCTGGAAAACTTGAACACGCACACACATAGAATTAAATCAACACGCACACACACACGTGCACACACATGGACACGGAGACATGCACATGTGAACAAAGAAACACATACAGATACATACACATGAACATATATAGATACACACACAACACATGAACATGCACATGTATATTAACATTCACATATATTCACATGGACACGCAGACAGAAACGCACACATGAACAGAGACACACAATGACAAATCAATCTAAGGAGTTAACCCCCATCGGTGGCTCTGATGTCAGAAGAAAACATTCATTCCACGTGTGCTGTTGTTGAAGCTGGTAATTGAGTGAATCCCCAAAACAGGATTGGATATTTTTTAGAAAGTAAGAGATTCTAGGCCGATAAAAGAAAGAAACACACGGAGGTCATAAATAATTCAGAGTCAGGAGCTGCTGCTGCTGCTACTCCCCTGCATGGGGTATAAGGCAACGTTATGCGACGCATCGGAGAGAGAGGACAGGTTTCATACACATGTAATGCAAGTGTAAATGGGGTTGCTGCTGGGCTCTTGCCCAATCACACGGCCCGGTATGGGGGGCATGTGGGAGGAGCCGCCGTTCACCTCGGCTCCAATGGGAAGCGAGGTGAATGGAGGTGGAGCCAGCAGGGCAGTATGAGAAGGCCGGATCTGACGATCCGGAAGGGGAGGAGTCAGGGTCACGTGGGAAAGACGATATAGAAGGAAGCCCAGAAGAGATCGGGGCCAGTTGATGGAGTGAAGAAGCGGGACCACGTTGGGTGGCCGCCGCGCCATCAGCCACGTGGCTGATGGGGCTTCGGCACACCGTCGGCCAGCGGTGTGCGGAGTGGGAGAAGGAGCTGACCGAGGAGCGTATGGGGGCACGCGAGAGGAGTAACGGGAGAGCGCGTGCGGGGCGCGCGCGAGAAGGAGCTGACGGAGGAGCGTGCATGGCACGCAAGAGGAGCGTGCGTGGCACGCGAGAGGAGCGTGCGGGGCACGCGAGAGGAGACGCTGGTCCCTTGTCAGAAACCAGCGGGGTGTGAGGACGAGTGGAGGAGCTAACGGAGGAGTGTGTGTGGCACGCGAGAGGGAGGGTGCGCGGGGCACGCGCGAGTCGACGCTGGTCCGTGGAGGAGACCAGTGGGGTGTGGAGAAGAACCTGAATAAAAGAAAAGCGAAGACCAACAGTGCCTGACGGAGTCTTTTATTACACACACACAAATACCCATATACTCAGATACTCAGACTCATACAGAGACCTATAGACTCACAAAGAGACCCATAAACTCACGCAGAAAGTCAAAGACACGCATTGAAGCCCCTAAACTCATATAGAGACCCATAGACTCACACAGAGACCCATAGATTCACACAGATGCAAAAAACTCACACAGAGACCCATAAACTCACACGATGAACTATAGACTCACGCAGAGACTCATAGGCTCACACAAACTCAAAGACTAACATAGAAGCCTATAAACTAACATATAGACACAGGCTCAGACAAAGACACGGAAACTCACGCAGAGATACATAGTTTATTGTCCTTCTCCCACACCTCCGGTTATATATGTAGTTATAGCCTACATATTGTATATACGGGTGTTAAAAAACATGCGTAGCTATTTGAGTAAAAGTGAGTCGTAACTTGCATAGCCACCCCACCAACATTGAAATAGCGAATTGGTCGTTGCGCCACCTGGGAGCGTGTTGCATGCGCTGGGACTTAGTGCAGCTGTCTTGAACTCACGATGCGAGAGAGAGAGCGCCTCTATCTGCAATGCTCCTGTGTTTAAGACCCCGTGGGCTGAACACAACATCCGGCTGTAGTGGTTCACCGGGCTGCAATGCAGACTTGGATTCTGACGCCTAAACGCTCAACTTCGGTCCTTTAACTGGACGGTGTCCTCCTATGCTTTATGAATGTCAATTTAACCCAAAGTAGTAGGAGGCTTTCGCCACCAATATTATTCATTAAAGATAATTTTTTTAATATTGGAGTAAAATGGCGTCAGTATAAGTGTCGTTAACCCGACATAGCCCATTCAGTAAAGGTTTGTCACGTAAACAAAAGGTGGCCAATTAATCTTGATTTGAAGCTTTCTTGACTGCAGGAATCCATACTCTTCGGTTCTTTCGGTAAAGTCACGTAGTTAGAAATTAACTATAATAAAAAAACAATCACGAACGAAACGTCGTGATTTGTTTTATTTTATTTTATGCGCGTGTGTGTGAATGTGTTCCTGATCTGTTTTCCCAGACGTGCCGATGGACAAAAAAATGATTCACTCAGAGTACAGCATATAGCCGCTGAACACGGCGTCTCTGTGCACGTTGATGAAAAAACTAATGTGCGGAGCCTCCAACTCCAGCCACACCTCGTCCCCAGCTTTGAGACTCAGCACAACGCTGCCACTCATTGTGACTAAGTTTATACTACACAGCTTAGAGATGACCTTCCCGTTTTTCATGATCATAATCACGAGGTGCTTTTCACCGGGGTGCGCGTACAGCGTGAAATAGTAGACGCCTGGGTGAGCGCAGGTGAACTTCCCCGTGCCGGGGTTGTAGTGGCCCTGCGGGTTGGTGATGATGACGTTGAACGTCACGGGGGAGCCGGCCGCCGGCGTGTAAGTGCCGACCTTCGCAGAGAAGGCCGACCTGGGCCCCACGTCGCTCTCTCCCCGCTCGCCTTTCTCACCTCTTTCGCCTGGCGTACCTAGGCGGACAACACGGTGCAAACCCACGGCGTGTGCATGTGCGTGTCACCCCACGGTAGTGTAGAGGTTAGCGCTATGAACCCGGCAGAGACCCGAGTTCGATTCCAGCTCATGGTCAACACAAGTGACGATTATCTGAACCGGTCCTGAGCATCTTACCCAAAGTCGACTCAGCCTCAAATGATTATCTGGTGCGATGTGTTAACAACGTCACTTGAGAAACAAAGGCGTGCCGGCCTTCATTGGTGCTCAATAACATCACTTGCCACAGCAGTCTGATAAGGATATACGGGGGATCTTTGTGTTTTGTTTGTTTATTCCAAGTCTCAAACGGAGAGATGGGGCAATTCTGCATCAATGCTGATGACGGTGAGCCAAACCTGCACAATTGAGTCGTGTCCTGTGACAAACGTCTTTGTTTTGTAACAGGGAAACCTTACCCGACGTGGCTATATGGAACGCGTGTTTCAGCTCTACACAGTATACCGTGTGAACTCTGTTTTTCAGAATTTAGAGATACATAGAGACCCATAGACTAAACTATGAACTAAACTATTTGTTAAATTCCCAGGTGTAAGGTCCACTGAGAGTCTGTGTTGCTATTTTTCTCAGAAGCCACCTGCCTGTCGAAAATGACAGCTAAATGAAGTGGCTGATATCATCATGTGGACATTTATCGCAGCCAAATACTCTAAAGTCTAAACGTGGAGGGGAAAACCAGAGGACCCGGAGAAAAATCCACACGACCACGGGGAAAACATGCAAACGCCGAATATACATCAGGCATCGTCAGGGTTGGGTTCATACCTACGACCTCCTGTGTACCAGACGAGGGAGTTAACATCGTCTAACAACCGCAGTGAAAAAAATAGAGCAGTGAGCTCGGTTATTTCCTACCTCGATTATATTGTGTTTCTTTAGGCTTCTGGTATCTTTAAACTTAAAAAAGAAACACATTCCTGCTGCGGAGGGAGCTGGTAGGAACGTTGGGTTGCTCGGTCAATGGCCAGGGTCAACGGCGGCGTGGTGTATTCCGCAAATATGCCCGACTGTGAGGGCGGGCACAAGCCGGCGTGAGTAGGTTAAACATTGAGTTGAATAAGGGCACCACGGGGTGACCAGCCCCTCCCCAACCAACACCACCCCTCCCACCCCCATCCAGCCCCACCCTCCCCACCCAGCCTCTCCCTAACCTCCCCACCAAGCCCCTCCCCACCCTCCCCACCCAGCCCCTCCCCACCCTCCTCTCCCAACCCAGCCCCTCCCCACCCTCCCCTCTCCACCCAGCCCCACCCCTCCCATTTTTGGATGCACGACGGACGGACGGACACAATAATCCCCTGTGGGCTGATGGAACCAGGAGGTTCCTATCAGTATAAGAGAAGTGATACATCACTCCGTGGCACATGCAGCCTGTCGGTGGCGAGATGTTAACTACCTCGCCTGGTTTATAGGAGGTCGTGTGCTCGTTCGCAATCCTGACGCCAGCTGTTTATTTGGAGTTTGCATGCGTCTCTCCCCTTGGTTGCGTGGATTTTTCAATATGTCCTCCGATTTTTTCCCTCCACATGTAGACATGTATTTGGCTGAATAAATGTCCACGTAATGATAAGCCCACTTCGTCGAGCAATCATTACATGTGGCCAGGTCGCTTCTGAACAAGAGTTACATAGCTCAGTGAGCCTCCTTGGTAATAAAATAAATATATAGAATCAGCTGCTCGGTGCACACGAGTTACTGTCACAGTCCCACCTGGGTACCCAGTCAAGCCTCGAGCCCCGAGGTCTCCATTGGCTCCAGGTGCTCCGGTAACGCCTGCGAGAAGAACAAACAATGTCTCGTCCGCTCCTCAAGCCACTCTCAATTCACTCCACTCGCCTCCACGCACTCTCCTGCCTCTCCCCTCTCATCTCACTCCACTCCCCTCCACGCACTCTCCTGCCTCTCCCCTCTCATCTCACTCCACTCCCCTCCACGCCCTCTACTGCTTCTCCCCTCTCATCTCATTCTGCTCCCCTCCACTCACTCTCCTGCCTTTCCACTCTCATCTCACTCCACTCCCCTCCACTCACTCTCCTGACTCTCCCCTCTCATCTCACTCCACTCCTCTCCACGCAATCTCCTGCCTCTCCACTCTCATCTCAGTCAACTCCCCTCCACGCACTCTCCTACCTCTCTACTCTCATCTCACTCGTCTCCCCTCCATGCACTCTCCTGTCTCTCCCCTTTCATCTCATTCTACTCCCCTCCACTCACTCTCCTGCCTCTCCCCTCTCATCTCACTCTACTCCCCTCCACGCACTCTCCTGCCTCTCCCCTCTCATCTCACTCCACTCGCCTCCACTCACTCTCCTGCCTCTCCCCTCTCATCTCACTCTACTCCCCTCCACTCACTCTCCTGCCTCTCCCCTCTCATCTCACTCTACTCCACACGAGACACTCTCCTACGCGAATGAGCGAGTGAACGATCGAGGGCATGACATGGTGAGTGAACGATTGAGTTAGTGAACGAGTGAGCGAGTGATCGAGTGAGCTAACGAGTGATCGCGTCGCTCCCCACGAGCGCACCGTGGGGGGGGACTCTGGGACCCGACCCCTCACCGTCTCTACCGTCCCTCCCGGGGGCCCCAGGGGTCCCGTGCTGCCCCGGGGCTCCGGGCTGCCCGGGGATCCCGTTGATGCCCGCGCAGACGGTCTTCTCCTGCTGGGCTCCCACCACCACCACCACCCCCAGCAGCAGCAGCGGCAGCAGGGCCGAGATGGACATCTGGGGACAGCAGTGGCGAGATGTTAACTAGCTCGCCTGGTATACAGGATGGATTTAGACACGAAATTTTAGTTTATTTTACCAAGTAAGGAACAAATGATAGCCCTGCCCATCACAAATTATTTTTCAATGAAGTAGGCTTATCATTGTCACGTGGAAATTTATATCAAAGCTCTAAACACGTGGTGATGTTGATTTTAAATGTGAATGAGAAAAACTGGAGGACCCGGAGTAAAATACACGCGACCACAGAGCGACACGAAATATACAGCAGACATCAGGGTGGCAATCGAACCCACGACCTATATACCAATCGAGGTAATTAACATCTCCACAGGAAGAGAAAGAGAGAGACGCAAACTCCAAATACACAGCAGCAGGCATCATCGAGGTGTCGATTGAACCCACGACTTCCTGCATACCAGGCGAGGTCGTTAACATCTCCACGGGGAGAGACAGAGAGAGATTGACACAAACTCCAAAGAAGGAGCAGCAGCAGGCATCGTCAGGGGCCCGGCGATCGAACCTGACGAGGGAGAATCAGAGACAAGCGCGGAGACAGCAGCCAGAACCATTGTGTCGTGTAGACGCTGCAGGAGAAATCCGATGAGCCGTGAAGCTCTTTTCAAGTCACAGATGCTCCGGTAAGGAGGCCACGAAGTCAGAACGTTTCAACAACAAACAACACGATGCACAAACAGGATAGGAGGGCGAAGTATAGGAAAGGTAAACAAATAATGTAAAACAATATAAACAAAAACATCTATCTTATTGGTTCTTTCGGTAAAGTCACGTAGAAGGGAAATAATAAAATAATAAAAAACATATTGTATTATAATATTATTTTATGATGTTTAAGTTGTATTATTTTATTATCTCCCTTCTACGTGACCTTACCGAAAGAACCAAGAAGATGAATCCCTGCAGTCACGAAAGCTTTAAATCGAAAAAAAACATCTATACTAGTTGTTATCTTCCCAGGTAAAACCCCAACTGAGCTATTCACTTACTATCAGTAGAGACCTCTCCATCACAAATAATGGCAGCTCGACGAAGTGGCCTATCATCATCGTCAACATCACGTGAACAATTATAGTAGCAGCCAAACATAGAGATGGAGAGAAACGCATGGAGACCCATATTGATACATGTGTGGGTCTATGGGTTTATGGGTGTGTTTATGAGTCTGCGTGAGACTATGGGTTTCTGTGTGATCTATGGGCATCTGTTTAAGTCATTGCGTCTCTGTGCATCTGTGGTTCTCTGTGTGAGTCTATGGATCTCTGTGTGAGTTTACGGGTCTCTTTGTGAGTATATGGGTCTCTGTGTGAGTATATGGGTCTATGTTTGAGTCTATGGGTCTATGTGTGCATCTACGGGTCCTTGTGTGAGTTTGGGGGTCTATATGTGAGCCTGTGGGTCTATGTGTGATGAGTCCATGGGTCTCCATGTGAGTCTACTGGTCTCTGTGTGATAAGTCTATGGATCTCTGTCGGAGTCTATGAGGCTGTGTGATGAGTCTATAGGTATCTGTTTGAAAATACGGGTCTCGGCGTGAGTCGATGGATCTCTGTGTGAGTCTATGGATCTCTGTGCCAGTCTATGGGTCTATGAGTGTCCGAGGGATATGTGTGAGTATGAAGGTCTATGTCTGAGTCTACGTCTCTGTGTGAATCTGTGGGTCTGCGTGTGAGTTTACGGGTCTCTTTGTGAGTGTATGGGTATTTTATGAGTCTATGGGTCTCTGTGTGAGTCTGTGAGTCTCTGCGTGAGGAGTCTATGCGCTGAGTATATGGGTCTCTGTATGGGTCTATGGATTTATGTTTGAGTATGTGGGTATATGTTTCAGTCTCCGGATCCCTGTGTGAGTCTGTGGATCTATGTGTGTGTCTGTGGGTCTGTGTGAGTCTACTCGTCTCTATGTGAGTCTATGGGTCGTGTTGTAAGTCTATGGAATTCTGCGAGTAATATATGGGGTATGTGTGTTGGTTGTTTTGCGTTTGTGCGGCGCGAGCGCAGGAGGTAGATTGCACATTCGCAGGCCACTCGAATGTATGTTGAACTTGTTTGGAGTCGTACATAGACAACAATGCGAATTGGATGTGTGGGGGAAGGACAACAATCTATGGGTCTCTGAATCTATGGGTCTCTGTGTGAGTCTATGGGTCTCTGTGTGAGTCTATGGGTTTCTGTGTGAGTCTATGGGTCTGTGTGTGATTAGTCTTAGGGTCTGGTGTGATGAGCCTATGGATCTCTGTGTGAGTCTTTATACATATGTAGTGGTGATTGGCTGTGTGTTGGTGACGCGCGCTGACAGGGAGTGATCGTGTGGCAGCGCGGGGCGATTGGTTGTGTAGTGGTAACACGCGCTGGGAAAACGGATCGTAGGAACAGCGCGCCGTGATTGGTCGACTAGTGGGCGCTCACATCGCGGTCCGCAAGAGGGCTATATAAGGCGGTGCGCGCGGGCGCTCGGGGAGTTGGTGACCGGCGAAGACTGAAGACGGCGGAGGAAGAGATAGGGCCCTGCGGCACCTAGTCCCGCTGTCCTTGTAAGGGCCGGGGCTCTGTGTGACCCAGAGGCGGGACCCTGGGACCCGGGGCCGAACGTCCGTGTGAGGGCCGGCTCTCGGGACCCAGAGGTTGTGACCCACGCCCAAGCTGGGGTGGGTCTGTAGGCTCCACGGACGTTACGGGGCTGGAGTGTAGTGTGAGCATGCAGCGTGAGCCATAGTCACTACACGTGTCAGTGGAGTGTGTAGTGGGAGAGGTAGTGACCACACGTGTCAGTGAAGTGTGTGTAGTGTGAGGAATAGTGACCACACGTTGTATCGTGACAAGTCAAGGTTTAATAAAAAGTGTGCTACCCGTCAAGAGGTTTCCTGCCGTCATTCCGATACTTCACATACGGTAAGTTGCATTTTCTTTCACACCACCGTACGTCGCAAGCTGAGCGTCCTGCTAATCGCAGGTTGTCGGTGCTCAGCGTTGGTCACCGAGTCACTGGAATCCTCTCCCCCGTCTCCCCTTTTAAACGTTACTCGGGTCACGTGCTCCTCCATGTCCAACTTGGTCCAGACCTCCCACGTGTGACGTCACAGTCAACACGCGCGCGCACAAACAAGAAAGACAAAGATCCCCCGTGTAGCCTGTAACAGACTGCTGGGGGCAAGTGGCTGTTAGTAGCGAGACGTAGCAGCGCCTATGAAGGCCGGCACTGTGGCACACGAGGGGGTGGGTGGCCAGCAGCACCACGCCCAACCGCCTTCATCTCCCTTAGTGGTGATATTTAGCAGTAACGTGCTGTGAGGTCAATGGCTGGGGAGGCACTGGCTTGTATTAGAGCCAGATTTACTCACTGTGGTGGTGTGTCCTCACTGAGAGGGGCATGTCCTGATGCCAGTGGTTGTCACCTCGGCCATACTTCTCCCCGTCCTCCGGAGGTCATCCCAAGGCTTTGTGTGGACGCAGATGTTCTTAATTGCCCATTGGAATGTATTTTTGACTCGTCGATGCTGACCCCCGGGAGTGGTGTGTATTTGTGGCCATGTGTTTATTGTGAAATGGCATATATATTATCCATGTGGCATGCGAATGACCTCCTTTCCCCCATCTCTCTCTCTCTCTGGGTTTTATATTTGTGTCCTTTCTGCAGTGGCTGGATTACCGAGTTAGATTCTCCCTTAATAAAAACAGTCGCGGTTATCTACTCTGGTTTTGATTCCCTCCTTAGGTCGACTCAGTCTAAATATGAATACCTGGCTGGCATGTTAAGATTGCCACTGGGAAGACAAAGGCGTGTGACAGTCATTGTTAATACAAATGTAGTGGGTTCAACTGGGTCGCAGACGTACTCTTTGGAGGCAACACATTTATTAACACCAACACAAGGGGTAACAGCTTCTTAACAAGATAACAACCAATGGTGGTGGACCACCAGGCTAACTACACGAATTACACAATAATAAGCTACAATGGAACGGACCACAGCTTGGGTCCCAGCCCACGTCTTGGTGACTCTGTAGAACGTAGAACGTAGATTCTTCAGGATGAACAACAGCAGCTGGTCTCTCTCGGGGACCCGGCTTACATCCTCTGCGGCGTGGCTGGCTCCGCCCTGAGTCACGACCACATTCTAGAATCCTCGAGCAGGATGTCGACCCTGACACGTGACCACCCCTAGCCCCCACTTGGGGCCCCCGTGTAAACTCACCTGGTCACGTGTATTCCGGGGTCAAACAGAGTGCCACGGCCTTTAGTAAACCCCTTACCGTGGCCGGCACTCTCACCCCCTATCTTGTAGTTGTAGGGGCCGGCACTGCACGCAGAGCGTGGCACCATCCAGCGCTGTCAGTCAGCGCTCACCGAGCCCCACTAGGGCCGGTACTGCACTCACATGTAAGTGGTGACCGCGAGGTCAATACATCGTCGCATGCCGTGCCTCTCTAGGGCGGCATTACACAGTAACATCCGTGATGTCACTCCACAAATATGCCAATTCGTCATTATAAAAACCTTTTGCTCCTGAGCTGCATCATCAAGCTGATGTTTAATACCGTAATGTTGGAAAATATTCCTACACGGTGGTGGTTAATCCAAACATTCCAACTTTTCAAGCCAAGGCTTGTGATTAATTAACTTTCACGATTCCCAGTCTAGTTGGTGTTCATTGCCCACCCCGTGTAAGCACTAAAATAGCCGTATGAATAAGCACGTGCGTACCCGTGTACCACTCGGCGCAGCTCCACACACAAACGCAACGGCACAAGCACCACGTGCAATGGCGAATTAATGATGGTAAGATCCGCACGTTAATTCCCAGTATCACGGCGCACTATTGATGACAATACACGTGCGTTAATCCCCGAGCGTTTACGATTGAATTCGCGCCGATCATCACATGTAGGCGCGCACCTACACCACGCCCAGACTTTCTCCTCACATACTTAATTTTGGAGCTTTCTTGACTGCAGGAATTACTCTTTGGTTCTTTCGGTAAA